CGATGCATGGTTCTGCTATAAGCACGTAAGTTACAAGTTTGTGAAAGGACTTCCAGTGCCAGGTAAACAAAGCAGATTATGAATATACTTAAGATTCACAAATACCAAAACAATGTGTCTACACCAGACGTGAGCAGCGCGATTTGACAAAAGCAAATAGAACCAAGTGATGTTCTTTGCTGTGGATGCGGCGCGACGCGACGCAACAAATCCATGACAGTAAACTGATGCCCCGTTCTACAGTACTTCTGACAAACTCCAGCGCTGACACAAAGGACCATTTCAAATATTCATAAGAGAATCATGAAAAAAAATAGTTTCCTCAAAAAATATTAAGCAGCACAAAAGCTTACAACATTGATAATAATCAGAAATGGGTACCAAGCAGCAAATCAGCATATTAGAATGATTTCTGAAGGATCATGTGGCACTGAAGACAAGTAATGATGCTGAAAAGTCAGCTTTGATCACAGGGATACAGTAGGCTATATGTTAACTTAAAACATTCAAATAGATAATTTAAATTGATAATATTTCACAATATTACAGTGTTTACTGTATTTTTAATAAATAAATGTAGCCTTGGTGAGCATAAGAGACTTTCCAAAAAAAGAGGGGGTGGGGGCCTTGAAAATATTTTTCTCTACAAAAGGGGGGCCCGGCAGAAAAAGTTTGGGAACCACTGGCCTACTCAAACACACAATATTTAATTTAATTAAATTCATACAGGCCTACCTCATGTTGCACGTTTGCACTTTTTGAGAAAAACAATGGCACAATAAAAAAAGACTTTTCAGGTCTACGTCCAATCCCTCACTTTTTCTAGTTATATAAGGTTAAAATATTTTGCCTGTATTTTTTTTTTCTAATTTCGCAATATAATATCGATATCGCCTGGACAGTGTAAAATATCGTGATATGAATTTTAGCTCATATCACCCACCCCTAACTCGAAGTAAACACAAATCAAATTAAGACATGTGGAGTATTCCTATTTTAGTCACATTATTGAAGTGCAGTATAGACATGTACACACTAGGGCTGCACGATAAAGCCTGTGGGCTTTCACATTGAGCAGCATTAACTACACAGAGCCGTTGTTCACTGACGAGCTTCGCAAAACCACGTTCATATTCGCGCGATTTTTTGCGCAGCTCGTCAGTGAACAACGGCTCTATGTAGTTAATGCTGCTCAATGTGAAAGCCCGCAGGTGATGGAGATTTACCGCTGATTACAGAACCGGCTTTCTGACAAGATGCGCGTTAAATATCGCATGCGATTTATCGTGCAGCCCTAGTACACACCTTAATCATTACCGTTGTGTAGGACTTTTCGCCACATTTTGCGACAGGATACACACACGGCAGTGGTCAACCAGTTGACGGCAAATAAAAGAGCTTCAACACCGCCGTCACCTGTATGCATTAGGGCTGAACGATTTTGGAAAATAATCAAATTCTAATCTAATAATCTAATCTAATTTTTTTTTTACCAATATTGCGATTGCGATTTAATATGCAATTATTTTTTAAAGCTCTTTGTGTTCTGTATTATTCAACAAAGACAAGCTATAAATCATTGTATAGTATGACCAACACAATATTAGATAGATTAAACATAAATGTTCTTTTCTGTAGGCCAGGCCTATATGTTAGGTAATTCAAAGTCACTGTAATAAACATGTGGACTGCACTTTTTAAACACTGTTAACTTTAGACAGACTTTAAATAAATAAGAATACATATATTACCTTATTATACTGTATATATTATCTTAAGGTCGAAGTCTTCAGTAATGAAATGCACCGTAAAACTGTTACTGCTTGAGTAATTTCAGGGCTCCAGACTCATTCTTCCCACTGGTCGCTCTTTTGCAACTAACTTTCTCATCTGGCTGCATGAGCACATGATTTGGTCGCAACTGTTTTTTTTGTTTTTTTGCTACAACATGGGATTAATCAATGCAATGGGATTAATCAATGCATGCTGATGAACTTTTATCATAGTTTATAGTTATATGGAAACGAAAGAAGTTAACATTCAACCCCTTCTTTTTATTTTTCAGTTCATTTGAATGGATGCGCAGAGCACCTGTGTTTGTGTATTTGGCGTAACATAAAAGCTAGTGTGAAGGCGCACAACTCGCCGTCGCTTTCTCTCACTCGCAAAGAGCGAGAGTCTTACATAACATGCAGAATTCATGCGCTACATGTAAACGATATACTTTGTTGTATTTTCCTGTTATCATATTATAATGCTTGACTGACTGATATTAAGAGTGTACTTTCAGATACTTAAAAAGCTTTACCATTTTACAAACATTATATATGCCAATGGCGATTCAATTGCCAAGGTGTCCGTAGAGGGTTGGATTGTCATAGCAAAGTCGGAATTTACCCTTTTTTTTTTTTTTTT